GTAAATCATTACAAAGTAAACACCATATCTTAATGAACGGGGATCTACTGATCACCGACATTGACAACGAGGATGTCAAACGCAGATACCGGTGCCAAGTGGCCAACAGGTTGACCGGCGAGCGAACCGATAGCTCAAACTGGTCGCGCATTGTCTTAATTGGTAAAACAAATTTATTTATATCAAAAAAACATATATATATATAATTTAATTAATAGATAACGACATGAGGACAGGCCTACGAAACAATTTGAGTCCATCGGTTAGTACAATGCTAGTCCCGGATGGCCAATCGGTAGCCATATATTGTTCATTTGATGGCCAACCCGACAGCCGACCCGACCAGCACTGGTACTATACTGTCGGCCGACATTCAATGGATCTGATGTCGACCGCACGTATGACCAGATTGCCAGTGTCTACACTATCGTCGGCCGATAATAATAATAATAATAATATCCATAACAATAACTATAATAATAATAACTATAAAGTGATGCCAACAATGGTATTGATTGGCAGCGCACAGTTAGCTGATAATCGGCGATTTATTTGTGTCGCCAATAATACCGGAGCTGAACAACGATCCGAAACACAACTTATAGTCAGATGTAAGTCACTGTCTATATCTCTCTTTCTCTCTTTCTTTCTCTCTTTCTTTCTCTCTCTCTCTTTTCCCTGTCATTCATCATATTGTATATTAAGTTAATATACGGTCTAATGAATAGATTAATGAAAGATAGTCTCTCTTTATATATTATATATATATATATATAATATGATAGTATAATAGTAATAATAAGTCATTGAGTAGTATATTATATAATATTATATTAATATCATCATATAATATCTACTTTATATATATATATATATATATATACAGTATATGATATAATATGTTGTATATAACCGGTTAGTTAGTTAGTTAGTTAGTGTATATAAGGGACTTATAGATTACAGTTACAGTAGTATAGCCTATGTTACATAATATTAGATATAGATATATATATATAAATATATATACCATTAATACTATACATATGCTATTTTTTCCCAGTCTCCGGGTATATATATAGTAGTATCATATCATCATAGACTATGTCTATGGATAGACCATATAAATAGTGGGTAAAGATATCATAGACTGATATATAATAACTATTGTTAATAAACTCTATCTCTCTCTCTCTCTCTCTCTCTCTCTCTCTCTCTCTCTCTCTCTCTCTCTCTCTCTCTCTCTCTCTCTCTCTCTCTCTCTCTCTCTTATATTCATTAATGACAAACATTTATCTCTCTTTCTTTCTTTCTATTTGTTTCATATCTCATCATTGTATGTATGGCACCGTTAGCTTCATTGAGACTACATTTATCAGTATCTTCATCGTCGACAACAACATCGACGCCTAGTTTGGGCGATGATATTATCCTAAATTGTAGCCTAACTGTAATGGATTCAATACCATCATCAATGGCCAGTAGCACCAGTAGTAGTAGTAATCCAGGAGCCACTATAGTGGGTACAGAGTCGGGCATCGTAGCCGGCATCAAATGGTTTCGCAATATGCGGCCACTGGTTATGGATCATCGGATCCGACAGTTGTCGGACACTGTCCTAACCATCCGATCCTATCGTCACTCGGATATCGGTATTGTCCAGTGTTTTGTTCATCTGAAAGATGGTTTCGGTTATGAGGAATGGCTACAATCGGCGGCTGTCCTTACAATGGAAGGTAAGGTTTTTTATTTGCTGTTTGTTTTGTTTGTTTGTTTCAATGAAAATGAGAGAAAAAACAACAAAATAATAAAACAATTTTTTGTTGTTTTTTCTATCATTAAATATAAATCACTACTAATATTAGCTACAAATTTATATATCCAACACAATATGATGATCATAATGAATATATTTGAGAAATATATATATATAGAGAATATATAGATATATATACAGAATATATAGATAAGATATATACAGAATATATAGATATAAATATATACAGAATATACAGATATAGATATATACAGAATATATAGATATAGATATATACAGAATATATAGATATATATACAGAATATATAGATATATATATATACAGAATATACAGATATAGATATATACAGAATATATAGATATATATATACAGAATATTCTGATAATATTATATATATATATACAGTATATTATATAGCGGTTGGTTAGCATATTGTTTGTTACGCTAACAACATTAACATTAGGCTAACATTTATTTTTATTTTTTTTTGGGAGGCATAGAGTTAGTGAGTGAGTGTGTGTGTGTGTGTGTGTGTGTGTGTGTGTGAGAAAGAGAGAGAGAGAGGAAATGCTTATTGAGTGTAACACTGATTATGGGGAGTAAAACAAATGAGATTTGGAGGCAATGGTCGGGAAAAATGAACAAAAATAATATAAAAATTGCATTTTTGTGTCAATCTTTAGATTTTCTTACTTATAGTCTCTCTCTCTCTCTCTCTCTCTCTCTCTCTCTCTCTCTCTCTCTCTCTATCGTTGTGTTAGTTTTTTTTTTGGGTTATATTGATTATCAATAATTATCACACATTTTTGTTTTCTCTCTCATTCATTGAAAATAGTATCTGAAAAAAATACAATATATATATTGATATATATATAAAGTTATGTTACATAATGTTATGCCTATTGAATACATTGAATACATTTATATATATTGATCCTATATATCGATATTTATATATACAATACAATAGTAAAAATCTCGTAACAAATAAGTGATTTTTTTGTCTTAACCCATACACCCATAGAGAGAGCACCGGTATTTACGACCGTATTTTCCGAGCAAATCAAAATGTCAAACACGGATCTGAGTTTGAAATGTGCGGCCGTTGGCCAACCGCCGCCGATAATCTATTGGAAACTGGACGACTGGGATATACTTGAAGCCGTACCCAGGGCTCGACTGCACAGTTACGCCAACAAAGTCGACCGCACCGGTAGCCAATCGCAGCTCAATATTAGCTCAATTACTATGAAGGTTAGTGGGATATCTCTGATTTTGTTATTATTATTATTATATGACTTTCTCTCTCTAACATTAAAGCCTTTATCCTAATATACAGTTTTTTAAAGTTGTTTTGTATGTGTGTGTATGTGTGTGTATGTGTGTGTATGTGTGTGTATGTGTGTGTATGTGTGTGTATGTGTGTGTATGTGTGTGTATGTGTGTGTATGTATGTGTATGTGTGTGTGTGTGTGTGTATGTGTGTGTGTGTGTGTGTGTGTATGTGTGTGTGTGTGTGTATGTGTGTGTATGTGTGTGTATGTGTGTGTATGTGTGTGTATGTGTGTGTATGTGTGTGTATGTGTGTGTATGTGTGTGTATGTGTGTGTATGTGTGTGTGTGTGTGTGTGTGTGTGTATGTATGTGTGTGTGTATGTATGTATATGTATGTATGACTGTGTGTATGTAAGTGTTTGTGTGTGTGTGTGTGTGTGTGTGTTTGAAAAGTAATGACCAAAATCAAAATAGGCAACATTTTATGGCTTTTTCAAATAAAATACAAACAAACAAATAAAAAAAAATAAAATAAAGACAAACTCAGTGATCAATAAATCTATTGACCCTAACAATACACTACAACACTTACACTACAAATATATATATATACAGTATAACCTATATATATATATATTGTTGCTCCACTTTTGGATATAAAATATATTGATATATATGTACACACAGTTTAGATATCCAATAATTTATATATATATATATATATATATATCTATGTGTCTATGAGTATACAGTATATACAGTATATATAAATACATAGCACTTATACCCTAATATATAATACAATAGCTATTTTTTAAAGAAAAAAAATAAAATAATATCCAAACCAGCAAAACAAAACAAAAAAAATCTACAGTATATACTATTATATATATAAATTTATATATAATTTATATTATATATATATATATTTGAAGGAATTTAACTGCAATTGTAAACTATATATAATATATAGTAATAACTTTTCAATGGACTTTGTTTTTTAGTTTTTTTTATTTTGTTTTTTTTGTTTTATTATATCCTCAGTTCACTAACAAAATAGATTTATATTATATATATATATATATAAATTTATATATTAATAAAATGATTTGACAATTGTATGTGTCTATTATGGGATCTGCAAAATAAAACAATACTAAATAAAACTTTAAAAAAATTTTTTTTTTGTGTTAAAAACTGCTTTTCTATGCAATTTTATTAAGTGAGTGAGGATTACTGTATTTTTTTATATATATAAAAAATAATAGATAAATATCGATAAAATAAATTATCTAACATTTTATATACTGTATAGTATATATAAAATAAGATAATACAGCAATAAAATGATAATCTTAAACTTATAGCTAATTTGTTACACTTTATTTTAAACTATATTTTTTTATATAAAACAAATATTAATCATATTTTATGTTATTTAAATTGATTTATATATATATATATATATATATATATATATAAACCATAACTAGAAACTTAATAATAATAATGTACTTAATATATAAACACTATTAATATATTTATTTCAAAAAAAATTGAATTTATTTATTTTTTCGATAATATCTACAAAAAAAAATTTTAAAGATTTTATTAACTATTATTATGTTTGCTATAAATTTCAATTATAATTATATAATATAACACTATTATATATGTATGAATTGATAATTAATTAATTATTTTACTATAATATTATATTATTATTTTTTTCCTAACAAACAACTTAAAGGAAACGGGAGTTTATCAATGTATTGCTCACAATCTTAGAGGAACGGTAGTCCATAGATCCCGTATCAATATAATGGGTTCGCTGTATATAAAACCAATTGGAAACGTTACGGCCATTGCCGGCCATTCCCTAACTATTAACTGTTCCTATGCTGGCTATCCTATCGATGAAGTATTTTTCCTAAAAGGTATTTATTATATTTAAAAAAAATTTTTTAAAATTTAATTTTCAATAATAATAATATTTTTAATAATCCATAATTATTATTTAATGGTCGAGGGGGTGGGAGTGGGGGGGATAGTACTGTAAAAATTTTCATATAACAATAGGTATAGTAATACAGTACTACATATATAAATAGACCCTTAAAGGGTTAATTAATTATTAAAAATATATTTTTTTCTAGTATTTATATATATAAATGATATATATATATATATATAATAATAATAATAATAATAATAAAATTATTTAGTAATTTTCAAACTCAAAAATTTTTATAACTATTTTTTATTTTCTGAGGGGAAATGCTTGAAGGGGTGACACTTGAGATAATAATAATATTAATAATAATTTTTGAAAAATTTTTAGTAAATTATTATTATTATTATAACTGTATTATTATATTGAAATTTAATGTATTAATAATATATTTTTCTGTATATAATTTATAACAATTTTATAGGAATATAGCTTTAGGATAGACAGCGAAAAATATATCTAAAAATTAGAGATAATATATATATACAGTATATATATATTAATAGTAGTAATAATAATAATTTAACAGCCGTTTTATATAATAAATAATAATAATAATAATAATAAATATTAAGTAAATTAGTTTTGTCGACAATCCATTAAATCAAATATTGATTACACTTTTAGTGATATATATATAGTACTGTATATAACGTTAAACACGATATTTTTATATACAATTAGATAAATTGTATTTGAATTTAACTAATGTTTCTATGAGTATGTGTGACTGAGTGGGTGAGTGAGTGAGTGAGTGAGTGAGTGTGTGTTTATAGCGACAATTTTAACGGTATATCCGGTTTTTGTGTATGTATTGTCAAAACCTAAACAGGAAATCGACGCTTGCCTTTGGATGAGAGACACTCGCAGCCATCAATCGGTCGACTGGCCATCGCTTCGGTGGACAGTACCGATCAAGACATGTATAAATGTGTTGTCCTATCGCTTAGTGGCCAACGAATGGAGCAGACATTTCATGTCAAAGTCATAGGTCTGTACACTGATATGTATATACATACACACAGTTAGACACCCACACACCCGCCCATACATACACATACACACACTAACATACAATCAATTTTGAGACATACAGTCATATCATAGCAATCAGTTATATACAGTACAGTATATATGCTGTTATATAATGACTATTCAAATCAATTGCCTTTAATAATCAAACTGTGGTTTTAGAGATTGACATCAAACATACAGTATATATACAGTATATATACAGTATATATATATTATATACAGTAGTATATCAATCAATACATATACATTTAGATGAATTTATCGCATATATATATAAAGTACTGTTCAATACATTGTAATATTGTCTATAAAATACTGTATAATAAATATTGTATTTATATAATACTATGTGTGTGTGTGTGTGTGTATGTGTGTGTATGTGTGTGTGTGATATTGATAAATGTTGCATACAATAGGGCTATTTAAGATTAAATTATATTGATTTAATATATATATACATATATATCTATATAAATTTATGTGTGTGTGTGCTATCATTTAATGTCATATTTAATTTAAAAACAAACTTTTTTTTTGTTGCTTACTATTGATTTTATGTTCACTAAAATTTTGTTGTATCAATGATATGGGATATACTGTACATAAATTAGTAGTTGATTTTTTTTAGTTGTATGTCATTATGTATTTTAGTTGTTAAACGACAAGATTTTTTATTTCATCAATCAATAGGATGATGATTGAAAATTTATTATATAATAAATTTATATACATATTATATACAGTAGTTTTTTTAAAATAACAAAAATATATATACAGTATTACAGTATACACTAAATAATATTTCATATAAAAAAATAAATCAATTTATTTTTTTTAGTAAATTAAATAAATTTGTTTTTATAATCAATTAACTATAAACTTATCAAAACTTTTAAGACACATACACATACTGTACATACTTATACATACCCACACTCACACATTCATACATGGATACATATATATATTTATATATATATATATATATATATATGTACACACACACACACACACACACATTCATACAAAGATACATATATGTATACACACACACACACACAAACATATACATACATAGATACATATATTTATACATATATACACACACATATATATACACACATATATACATACACACATTCATACATACATTCATACATACATACATAGATACACACATATATATTAAATTTATATTTATATTAAAATTATAAAAAATATTTGTTTGTCCGCACAAATTGATAGCTCCGCCGGTAATCAGTCCGTTCATGTTTTCCGATAATCTTGAAGAAAATATGCGCTGTTCGGCCGTTTGTTCGGTCATATCGGGCGGTAAGTGTATATACAGTATATATAGAGCACCAGTAGATTATGAGCACATTTACTATTTATCAAATTTCCAGAGCCGCCGATAACCATCAAATGGTTCAAAGATGGCAAACCATTGTTGCAGATGGACTCCGACATCCAGATAGTATCCATCAACGAGTTTATATCGTCGCTTATCATATCAAACATCCGGTACTATCACAGAGGAAACTATACGTGTGTGGCGTCCTCAGCCCAGTTGACCACTACGTCGACCAATTTTACGGCCACAATGCGCGTACGGGCGGCACCCCAATGGATAGTACGACCAGCGGACAGGCATACATTGGTCGGCCAATCGTTGGTCATGGACTGCCAGTCCAGTGGCTATCCGCAGCCGGTAACTCGTTGGAAGTTTATACGTATCAATCAGATGATGATGGCGGGCACAGGTGCTGCTAATGGTCTCCAGGGTGTTGGACATCCAGACACCAATAGTGCACAGTTAGCCAAAGGCTCAGATGCCGTATCCATACTGAGTAGTCCACAGATACATGTACTGGAAAACGGTTCGCTAGCCATCCGATCGATTGAAACACACTTTCAGGGTATATACATATGCGATGTCGGCAACGGTGTTGGCCGGCCATTGGAAACCAGTGCCCGATTGTTTGTCAACAATGTACCCACGGTTCAACTAGGCCAACGACATCTGACTGTACGCCGATCGGGACAGTTGACCGTTCAGTGTACGGCTAGCGGTACAACACCGTTGACTATACGGTGGCTGAAAAACGGGTTTCCGCTTAGTAACGGTGCCAGCAGTGGTGGTGGTGGTGGTGGCCATAGCCGTGGTGGACACAACAGTGACCGGTCATTGTCGTCGGTATATATAATCCGAGAGGAACTGACCAAAACAAGCGGTACGGAAAAGTATTCGCAACTAACGGTCAACAACTGTGTCCGCAACGATACGGCAGTGTTTACATGTGTTGCCACTAATTTGTTTGGTAGCGAATCCCAGGAGTCCGATGTTGTAGTCCAGGAGCCACCTGACGCTCCCCATGATATACATTCATTGGATATAACCGCCCGATCGGCTACTGTCTCATGGGTTACACTATATACTGGCAACAGTCCGATCATTAAACACAGTGTCCAATATAAACGACAATCAGGTAATTATAATATATATATATATATATATATAATACTTATACTAAACTAAACTAAAATAATAATAATAATAATTAAATTGAAACTAATTTAAATTTATAGTCAAATATAGTAGTATCTTATAATTATATACTTAACTGTATAAATATATGTATATTATGTCAATAATTGACATATATATATACAGTATATATATATTATATATAAATCTAATTATAGTTTATAAACTAATAAAAATAATTATAATTAATTATAATCTATAATAATAATTAATTAATTAATTAATAAAAAATCAATTTAAAACACGTAGGAAAAAATTACTAAATTACTAAATTATATAATTAATTAATTACTAAATTTATTGAACATATTGTTTTGTTGTTGACTTATAATAAAAAAAATTACATTGATGAAATAAACATTTAGTGTATACGTTAAAATTACATTTAACGTTTAATGATATAATTAAATAAATTTTACTCTATAGAGTAGCTAGTTCAATTATAATTACAATAATTTTTTTCAAATAAAACTAAATTTAATTCAACTGTAATTAAAAAAATTACTTTAAGTTAACACCACTTATATATATATATAATTAATTAATTAATTTAAACTTAATTTTTTTTGTTAATTTATTTTATTAGTTTTAGTTTAAAAAAAAATTTTGTTTATATAAATATATAGTATTAAAAAGTTATTTATTTTAATAAATCTTTAATTAATTTTATATATTAATAATAAATTTGAGTTTTAATTTTATTTTTAAATGATATCTTAAAAGTCAGTAATTTTTTGTTGTATATTATATTAATAATCGATAAAAAAAACATAATTTACTGTTAAAATAAACATAAGTTTTATCAAACTAAATCACATCATCAACAAAAAAAACAACTTTAATTATTAGACAATTTTTTTTGCTAATAAAAAAAATTATATTAAACTTTGATTTTAATATTAAAAACATAAAAAACAGTTACTTTTTTTGTGTGTGTGTTTAATAATAATGATTAGCCCTGTTATCAGTTAAAGTGCATGAATTGGCATTAACTTTGTGTATACTATAATATTATTAGTAATAATTGATTTTTATTTTTGAAAAAAAAAATTAAATTGTTTATATAATGAGATTAATTTTTTTCCTCTCTCTCTCTCTCTCTTTAATTTTTTTTTTATTCAACTCACTCACTAATTTACTATCATTTTTTATTTTATAATTTTTATTTTATCAGTATAATCTATTTAATTGTCTAATATATGCTTAAAAATTTTTATATGAATATAATTTGAATTGATTTGAATATTAATTATTTTTTCCAATATATATACTGTCTCTCTCTCTCTCTCTCTCTCTCGACACACAAATGAGTCTATTGTTATGCCATAAAATAAGTCATTATATAATAACATTATATCATATATATATATATATATATATATGATATATAAAGTATATGAATGATTGATTAAAATTTTACGAAAGTCATTAATATATACTGTATTTTTGTTAATATACTGTATATGTTATATATTTATATATACAGTATATATATAATGTATATCATATATATATATAACACGTTAGCTAAATGTGTGTATATTTTTCATTTAAAAAATGATATTTTTGTCGGGGGTTTATAATAATAATATTTATATATTGATTAATTGTTTTTTTAAATCTACTAATATCTACCACATATTAATATATATTAGACATATATTAAATAAATATGTTATGTATGGGTAATAATAGTTATCATTATTATTATTATTACTATAAAATAAATATATTTCATATATATTTCATATATTTAATATACTAAATTAAATGTTATATATTTGATATTAAATATTTAAAAAAATATTATAGTTTTTTTTTAAAAAACAAATTTGCATAAAATATAGTTTTTTTTAAATATATATATATTTAATCTAAACTTTATTTTATATTTACTTTATATATATACTGTATATATAATTATATATTTTATAATATATTTAATATGTATATAATTAGTATTTTATATTAACTATTTAAAAAAAAAACAAATAAAATTAAAATAATTATAAAAACATTTTTAATTGAATATACAGTATATTTATTTTTAAAAAAAAAAATTATTTTTAATTTATATTTAATTATTTTAATTTTTCAACCCATTTAATAGATCAATGGTTCGATGCATTGATGATACACTCGACCGCCAATACAGTTACTATAAGTAATTTATTGCCAATGACTGGCTATGATATCCGGGTAAAAGTTGATAATGAAATTGGTTCAAGCGAATTTAGTACTACCATCAACATTGTTACTACAATGGAAGGTATAGTATTAAAATTACCTAGTATCAATTTTACAAAAATTAAAAAAAAAATTATCTAGATAATATATTATTAAAGTTATTAAAAATTTTCCTTAATTAAAAGTTTATAGTTTACTCCCATTATTAGTTGCTATCATATATAATATATAAAAAACATTTAGTAGGGTTGCCAACAATATTATTACTGTATTATTCAAATAAGTTATTTAGATATATACAGTATCTAAATAACTTATTTGAATTATTGAATAATAATAATGTTGGCAACCCTACTAAAATTGTTTTTACTTTTTTTTTAAAAAATATTTGATTTTAAACTTATAAGCTATGTCATATTTTAAAGGGTTTTAATTTTTTTTATTTTGTATTTAATAAATCCTTAATGTATTTTTTTTAATTTTTTTTTTAATATTTAATAAGTTATAAATACTAAATACTAATTAATAGATTACTAATCTATTGGATAAAATTTTATAGATAATGATCGACAAAATAAATAATAATTTAATTGATAGTTATTTTATATTTCAAAAAAAATTGTTTATATATATATAATAATAATAAGTTATACAGTATTATAGGATTAAATATAACTGTATTTTTTGCAATGTATTAGCAAATGTATTGAATAATACTAATACTAATAATAATAATAATAATAATAATAATAATCTTGCAATTATTACTATACAAGTTGTATGTATTAATAGATATATTAAATATTATTTTTTTGTGAATCATATAAACTACACATACAGTTATTATTAACATAATTTAATATCTATATATTAAATGCTAAATGCTTTATATCAGTATATACTGTATATATAATATATATATATAATATACTGTATTTAAACATCAAAAATACTAGTATATTATAATAAAGTATTAATAATTTGTTGTTGTTATTGAACATTGAATATTAAATATTATCCTCTTATATATATATATAATATATATATACATGTATAAATAGTAAATTATATATATAATAATTTAATATTGAAACAATTATATATCAATCAATGATATTTATAGTATAAATAATATATATATATATATATATATATATATATATATATATATATATATATATATATATATATATATTATAGATAACTTATTTAAATCTCTGACATCAACAACAACAACAACAAAAATATTATATATATATATATATATATATAATTTATATATAATATAATAATAATAAATGATAAATCTATCACATTTTTTTGGGTTCAATGGTTAAACCAAAAAATAAAATCATATATATATATATATTGAAAAAAAATCATATAATAAAATCATATTATACATTATATCGTGTAAATGCCTTTAATGTAATAATATACAGTATAATGGTTTGGCCTCCTCCTAACTATACTATTAATTATTAGGATATACACTATATATATATATACCGTATATATATAGATATAAAAAAAATCACTTTTATTTTTCCCATATAAATCCCAATATCCTACACATCTATATATATATCTATACATGATATACGATATATATTGAATATACATCTATCTATAATACATATCATAACATACAATATAAATGTATTAAATATATATAAGTCTCCCTAATATGTAATGGGTATAACATATACAATATATATACTGTATATATATATAAAATCATATCATATCTTATATATATTATATAATAATAATTTTTTTTATTTGATGGATAGCGCCGTCAATAATACCGCAAGACGTTCACTGTGTGCCACTTGACTCGCGATCAATCAAAATCCAGTGGAGTATTGTTAGCCCTAAATCACAGATAATTGATGGCTTCTACATTGGTTTCAAACCATTTACTAACATACATATGCCCTATACGTATAAGACAATGCAGACCAGTGGTGGTAGGGCTGGTAGTGGTGGTGGTGGTGGTGGTGGTGGTGGTGGTGGTGAACATGAGTTGGTTATACAGGGAGGTAGCGTTGGTGGCGGTGGTGGTGGTGGACATCACTACCAACAACAGCAGCAGCAGATGCTGATGATGATGATGAGCACCGGTAGTATGATAGGTACGGCTGCTGGTGCTACCGTTGCTGAACCACAGATATCAAGCAAATATGATTATAATATCGAGTCACTGTCTAGACGTACAAAATATATGTGAGTTTTTTGTTTTTAAAATTTTATTTTTGTTAATATATTTAATTCATACCTAAGCTCTACTGTACATAAGTATGTTTAATAGAGAGAGAGAGAGAGAGAGAGAGAGAGAGAGAGAAGAGAGAGAGAGAGAGAGAGAGAGAGAGAGGTATTAATGTATAATTAATTATATTATAATTATTTTTCTTATATTAAATGTTAGAATAAAAATTTTATATGTATTTTATAATATAGTATTTATTATAACTATAGTAATATTAATGTATTATTATTTATTTATTTTTAAAAATAATTTAATAGTTTCAAAAAAAATAATTAAACAACAAAAACAATATAACAAATTCAAAATTTAATAATATATAATTCAATTAAAATTAAAATTATTATTATTATTATTACATTATAATGTTAGTACAATTACCCAAACATTTTCTACAATATTTTTAAATATTATTATAATTTACAATTTAAAATTATTATAATTAATAACTTTTAATTAACACACTTATAATTATTTTATCCTAAAAATAAAAAATCATTTTTAGATTTATAATACAGGCATTCAATAGTATGGGTGCCGGACCTTCCAGTGCCGAGATTATTGCCGAAACATTTGCAAACGGTTAGTAAAAATTATTTTTTTTGTTTTGTTTTAATACAATTTATCTATAATTTTTATTACTACCAAACAAAAAAAAATCAGACCCACCGGAGGCACCCCTGGTTAAGGTAGACTCACTGACCACTAGCGACGCCACACTTATATGGGATTTGATGTCCTCATCCTCGTCGTCGTCCTCATCGTTGTTCAAAGACAGCGACGGCAATCAAGTGGACGGCTTTATCATTAGCTATAGGATGGACGGTAACAGTGGTGTAACTACCGGTGCCTTAGCCGAGCACATGGCGTCCAACAACAACAACATCAATAACAACTGGGAGACCATTCAGCTGAGTGGCCAACACAAAAAGTATGTCCTAAGAAATCTCCGATGCGGTACTAGTTATATCGTTAAAGTCGAGGCCTTTAACGATGTGGGCACCGGTAGGCCCAGCGATGAGCTACGGTTTTCAACAGTTGGCAAAGGTTTACTTGATTTCAATAATAACTGCCGGTTCCTCTCTAACACCCACCCCATCCCAAAAAAACACACAACTAACCTCCTATTAATTTTTTTTAATAATTGACAGCACCGGTAGCTGCCGACCGTAGTCAACAGTTTACCGCAAACATTACGTTTGTTTTATTGCATTTGAATCGTTGGTCAGATGGCGGCTGTCCTATCAGTCATTTTTCGGTTCAATATAAGCCCAGACAGTCGGGTGACGGCTGGACAGTCCACTCAAACGACATATCAAGCGAACAGAATACGGTATTGTTGGCCGACTTGAGGCCGGGTACCTGGTATGACGTACTGGTCGGCGGCTACAATGAAGCCGGCCAAACACAACTGGAGTATCGGGTGGCCACTTTGACGACTACCGGTTCAACTGTTGAACCGTTGAGTTCGTTGGACGGATCGTCGTCGGCCGGCGGCAGCAGGGGATCCATATTCGAGGATCCAGTGATTCTGATACCGGCTTTCTGTGCCGTACTGGTCCTAGTGGTGGTCAGCTGTGCTACCGGTTTCATATTGATCTGGAAGTCGAAAGAGTCGGGCGCCACCAACGAGCCATGTATGTACATAATTAGGGGTTTGGGAGGTGTTTGGATGGGGGGGGGGGTTATACCTAAATAATATGACTTAATATACTAATGTATGCACCGATCGATTAGACTGTAGGCACCGGGAAAACAGCCGAAGCGATGATCTATCGTTAAACTCATACAATAAAGTGCCAAAAACAGAGCCTATCTATGATCGCCAGAGACTACAAGTCTATTATCCCAATGGCTATCATACCGAAGCCGGTGGTGGCGGTGGTGTTAGTGGCCAACAGCTAATCACAACTGGTGGTCAAGATTTGTGTCATCAAATACATTTCCAGGGAGCCGCCGATGTCGATTGCGGTGACGGTATTGGAGCCGCCATTGGCGGCGGCGGTTGCGGCGGACAGATAGTTGTCGAGCCGTCGAGAGGAGGTCGACGCGGGTTCGGCTATGTTGACCACGTTTACGATGTACCGCACCGTATGCTCAACAAACAGATGGTAATGAACTCTCTCTTTCTCTCTCTTTCTCTCTCTTTCTCTCTCTTTCTCTCTCTTTCTCTCTCTTTCTCTCTCTTTCTCTCTCTTTCTCTCTCTTTCTCTCTCTTTCTCTCTCTTCTCTCTCTCTTTCTCTCTCTTTCTCTCTCTTCTCTCTCTCTTCTCTCTCTCTTTCTCTCTCTTTCTCTCTCTTCTCTCTCTCTCTCTCTCTCTCTCTCTCTCTCTCTTCCTGTACCAAACCTAACCTAACCTAAAAATTAACTAAATTGTACTGTATTTAGGCGGACACCACAAAGTTGTCCAGTTATTCGCTGCTCTGGAAGGAAGACAACTGTCCCGAAGCCGTAGCCGATTCTTGTCTACAAATGGACAACAATAGTAGGTTATTGTCGCCAAACATACGATACAAACAAACAAACAATCGATAAGACAATCAAACAAACAAAACAAAAATAATTGATACAAATATATATCTAAATTTAATTTTGTTTTTTTATTTATAAATCAATGAAATGCAATATTATTAGTAAAAATTATATTTATTTATAATAAATAATATCAGATATTAAGTACAATATTGTGTATAAATTTATATATCTATAGTCTGTTATATATATATATATACTGTATATACAATATTGTACTTAATATCCACTTATATATTGATATATATATATACAGTAGTTGATAATTATCATAAATTTTATTTTTATTGTTTAATATATATCATTATTTGAATGTATAAATACTTAAATACTTATTTTATTTATTTATTTAATTAATTAGGTTTAGTCGATTCAACCGGAATACCTAATACATTGACAAACTGTAGTATAAGGTATTGATTATTATTATTATATATTATATAATTTATATATATATATCTAATAATAATATAAATTGTGTTATTATTATATTAAACCCCCCGTAAACAACAGTAGCCGTGATAATGAATCAATTTATAGCCAATCGACATGTTTTCATGAGATACACAAATTGGATCAATTAAAACAATTACAACATTTACAGTATGGTTGTCCCAGAGATCAATTGCCACCACAACAACAACACCAACAACAGCTATCATCATCAGCAGTAACAACACCTACCAGTGCCGGTAAATCATATCAATTATATATATATATATATATAAAATTTAAATAATTTATATCTAAAAAAAATTATACTATAATTAAATAATATTTCTAATTATAATCAATCATAATTATTATTTATTAATACTAATACTACTAATAATAATTATTATTATATAATATTATTTTATAAATATATAATTAGTTTTTTAATGTTAATATTTACTTATGCTAATTTTTTGTGTAAATTATATATATTATAATTATGTATAAATACTAATATAATATATATTTTTTTAATCATTATATTATAGATTAGGTTTGAAAATTTTGATTTAGTTAATTATAATTTAATTATTTGCATTATTGCATATAATTTAATATATATACAGTATTATAATAATTTATATCTAGAAAAAAATTATACTATAATTAAATAATATTTATAATTATAATCAATCATAATTAATTTACTAATACTAAAAATAATAATTATTTTTTATTATTTATCATTTATTTATATATAGCACACGTCCAACACAGTAAACTATTTGGTAAATCAATAATTATATAATAAATAAAAAAACTCAAATTAATAATAATTATAATAATTTGTTTTGTTTGTTAAAAACAAACAAAACAAACAAAAAAAAGTGTATAAATATTTTTGAAAAATAATGTAAAATGTTTTTTAATTAATTTTAATCAATTAATTTTCATTAATACAATTTTCTATTAAAATTTAATTAATTGATTTAATTTATCTATAAAAAAATTATAATGTAAATGTAAATATATTTTACATTTTTTTAAAGTAATTATAAATTTTAATATATGTCTATTATATAATATACAGTATATATATACAGTAAATAATTATAAAAAAAACTTTTTATATAATAGGATTGATTTTCAATTATATATCTATTATTATAATTAGTATTATTACTGTTTGTTTGTATATTATATAAAGTTATATATTGAATATACATATATATTAAGCATAATTGTATGATACGTGACAAATAACATGTTTTTATTATTAATTTTATTTAAAAAAAAAAATTACAATTTTTATCCCATAAACCATAAACTTGTTAAGTGCCTCACAATTAGTTAAAAATAACAACAAAACAAATAAAACACACAAAAAATTTAGTTGAATAATAATTTTTATTATCTAACTTTGTTTTATTTTAACTGTAATAAAACAATGACACAATTTATTTTTAGTTTTAAAAATATTTTTTTTTTGAAAAAAATATAATAAAAATTAATTTATAACACTTATATAGACACTCACTTAAACTAACAAATAATTAATTATTAATTTATTTTTTTGAAAAACAATATATACATAAATTTATTATTATTATTATTATTGTATCATTTAAATTATATATTGAGTATTATTATTATTATTATATAATTATATATTTTTTTCCAAAGAATATTCCTTATAATTAATTTATTATTTATTTTTTCAAAAATTTTAAAATTCCTAGAATTCAAACAAACAAAAAATTTATTTAACAATTAAAACAAATAATTTATTAATAAAAAATTGTAAAATATTTTAACAAAAACAACAACAAAAATTATCATGTATCATTTCAATAATTGCTAAATTGCTTATTAAAAAAAATTTATTTAAATAACATTCAACAATAACAACAACAAATAAATGTAAAAATTGTTTAAACTTTTTTTTTTATATAAAACAAAATTAATTTCAATTTTTAATTTTCAAATTGTCATCAACAACAAAAAATCATAAGTGCCAAAATTTTATATACATAAATATATATATATAAATTAAAACATGGTCATAGCTCAAATTTGTTATCAAAAAAAAAATTAATTAATTAATTATAAACAAAAATTTAATTAAATGATAAAATTTTTAAAAACATATTTGAATAATAATTATTAATGTATAATATTATTGATTATTGTATTTTTAAATGATGTACTTATTTGACAACAAAAATATTTAAAAAAAAAATAAAAGACAATTTACTAATAAAAATTAATTGTAATTTTAATATTCACTAATTATATGTTATTTAATTATATTTGTTTAAAAATAATTTATTAGTTATTTTTTGTTTGTTTGAATAATAAAATATTGATTTATTTTCAATTGAAATCATAATAATGATAATTATATATTAGTTATAATTATTAATATACAATAATATTATTATGATTTCAATTAATCATAAGTTTTATAATAATAATAATATGTGATAATTATAGAAATAATTTATTACTTAAAACATTTTTATTTACTTTAAAATATTTTTTTTTAAATATAATTGTTTTTAATAGGTATGCATATAAATACAATACATATTAATTATACAGTATATTAAAAACTTTAGACATAATAATTATATTTATATGATATCTACTTATAATAATAATAATTATTATTATTATAACTACTGTATTAAACTTAGTATTGGGTTTATCTATCCATTTGATCCAATAATTTGACTAACATTTTGAAAATAATTTAATTGATACCTTATTTTATATTTTATTCAGATTATTATATATTATATTAATATAAATGTCAATTATATGAATTATATTACGATACCTCATATATACAATATATATAATTTAGTAAATGCTGGTTAAGTCAATAATTATTATCAAATATCAATAATATAAATATCTAAAATAAAAATCATAGTATTAGTAAAATTAATTAATTAAATATAACAATCAAAACCAATCAAATATTTATTTTAGTTAAAATTGTTATATAATTTATATACATATTGTATATTATAGTTATACACTGTATAATCATTAATATACACTAAACTATTTAATACAACTAAACTATTAATAATAATATATTATATTTTTGGTCTCAAATTAATAGTACTAATGATCTCATTAATTACAATATGCTATAACAGTGTTGCTATAAATGATAATTAGTTCAAATAATAATAATAATAATAAAAAAATAAAAGTTCAAAAATAATTCAATACAATACTACAAATAGATATCAATATAATAATAATAATCTTTTATTTTATTTTTTTGACAAGTGGTTGTCAATTGATATTTTCAAAAAACAATTCAATTTATATAATATACAGTATAATACTATATATCTATAACCTGTATCTAATTAAAGTATCAATAATACTAGTAGTAATAATAATAATAATTCAATTGCCTGATTGTCTAATAAAGTGTAATAAATAACTAAAATTAAATATATTATTATAATTTTTCTCTCTCTATATACAAGGTTACCCATAAAATTAAAATATTTATCTATCATAATGAAAAAAATAATACATTTATTTATTATAATTTAGACATTAACATTGCTAATTATATATATTTATATAATTTATATATTTAATTATAATTAATATTTTTTTACGTAAATACTTTTATTACAAACAAAATATATTTTGCAAACAAACAAAAATATACATAATTTTTATTTATATAATACATATTTCTTGTATTAATAATTAAAATTTAAAAAAAATTGAGACCAAAAAAATAATAGCAATTAATGTTTAGTAGTTTAATAATAGGCATAATTGTCATTAAAATTTTATTTTTATTATTTATTAATAAATTTAATTTATTTTTATCATCAATATTGGCACAAAAAACTATATAACTTTCTCTATGAAATTTATATGTAATTGATTACTGTAAATATTATATATTTAGTAATAATTGTTACTTATTATTAATACCAATTCACATAAATATATATATATCTATTTCACATATATAGACATATAATAATAAAGTACTCAAACAATTGAAATTAACAGTACATATCAAATAAATATGAACTATAAAAATATAAAATCACTAGAGATTTAGTGCAAACAAATCAAAATCACAATTATAATTGTGTGATAATATATATATATATGTTTGTGATATATATATATATATATATATATATATAAATCAGTTTAATTATGATAAAAACAAAATATTAAAACAAATAATAGTGACTGTGATTTGTAACTATAACTATAACTAACTAACTATCCATAAGCACACACATACACACACACACACACACACACACACACACACACACACACACATACATACACACACACATACACACACCATATTGACTGATGTACTGATAATAAATCAATAAAAAAAATATAATATATAAATATAACAACTAATTTGTATGTTATATTTCTAAATAATTTAGTTATTTTTTTTATTAATTTAATTTATTTTATTTAAAAAACATTTATATTTTAATAGTGTATTATTATATCAATTATGTTTATTAAGCATATATTGCTAACAGTTTTGTTTGTCTACTACACCACCACTACCCGTATCGGTGGTGTTGCCGGCAAATCGGTCAGCGATTTAGATGATCTCAAATATTCGGGTGCCGCCGATGAGGCCAACACTTTTATATTGTTGGGTATTACTGTATGTCCACTAATAAAAAAAACTAACTGTTTTTTATACATATAATAAATATATAATAATTTAATTAATTAATTAATTTCAATAAATATAGGGCGATCTATCCCGTAAAAAGTTGATGCCAACACTATTGTAAGTATAGATAATAATAATAATAATAATAATAATAATAATATTAAAAATTTTTTGAATATTAAATAATTTTACAATAATTACAACGAGTAGTAAAACTATTTAGTAAATTATATATATAAAAAAACTTTTTTTTTTTTTTAAGTAAAACATTTTAAGTGTGAATATGTTTTTTTTAAATAATTATTATTACATTATATTATTAAATAGTTTATTAATGTTATTATTTATTTTTTTTTTGATAGTAATTATTAATAATAACAAATAACTACATTAATAGTAAATAATTTTAACTTTTATTAAGTTATTGTTAATATTGAGTAAAACTATTTAGTAAATTATATTAAAAAAAAACTTTTTATTTAAGTAAAACATTTTAAGTATTAATATGTTTTTTAAAAATTATTATTACATTATATTATTAAATAGTTTATGAATAATATTATTATTTTTTTTTTGATAGTAATTATTAATAATAACAAATAACTACATTAATAGTAAATAATTTTAACTTTTATTAAGTTATTGTTAATATTGAGTAAAACTATTTAGTAAATTATATTAAAAAAACTTTTTATTTAAGTAAAACATTTTAAGTATTAATATGTTTTTTAAAAATTATTATTACATTATATTATTAAATAGTTTATTAATATTATTTTTTTTTGATAGTAATTATTAATAATAAACTAATATTAATAGTAACTATTAGGTAAATAATTATATTATAAGTATTATATTAAAAAAATCAATATAACTATTAATTGTAATAACATTTTAATTAATTAATTAATTTTTTTAATTATTATTTACTATTAATAACAAATAACTACATTAATAGTAACTATTAGTAAATAATTATATTATAAGTATTATATTTAAAAAAAATCAATATAACTATTAATTGTAATAACATTTTAATTAATTAATTAATTTTTTTTAATTATTATTTACTACTATTAAGTACTCTATATAAGGAAGAACTACTACCAAAAGGTATCCAAATCGTTGGGTTCGGCCATTCAAAGACAACTGTCCCCGACCTGAGAAAACAGGTCGACCCGTATGTTCATCTGAAAGACGAGAGGGAACGTCAACTGTACGATGAATTCTGGAAGATTGTCCAGTATTTTTCGGGCGATTCGACCAAATCGGCCGACTATAAGCAAGTGGTGGATGCGTTGGCCAAAATCGAATCGGGTAAACCAGTGGCCAATCGGTTGATTTATTTTGCATTGCCACCGAACCTGTTTGCCGATACGGCTCGAGCGTTGAAAGAGACAGTGGAGTCGAAAACCGGTTGGACACGAATGGTCATCGAAAAGCCGTTCGGCAAAGATAGTGAATCGTCGGACGTGTTGTCCAAAGTCCTGAGCAGTTTGTTTCGCGAAGACCAGATCTACCGCATCGATCACTATCTGGGCAAAGAAATGGTACAGAATTTGTTGGCCTTGAGGTTCGGTAATCGCCTGCTGGAGCCCCAGTGGAACAATCGGCAYGTGGCCAACATTGAAGTACTGTTTAAGGAACCGTTTGGTACCCAAGGAAGGGGCGATTATTTTGAACAGTACGGTATTATTAGGGATGTCGTACAAAATCATTTGCTTCAGGTGCTAGCATTGGTTACTATGGAACGGCCGGAGAGTAGCGATGCCGATAAGATTAGAAATGAAAAGGTATGTACTGTATGTGTATGTATGTATGTATGTATGTATGTATGTATGTATGTATGTATGTATGTATGTATGTATGTATGTATGTATGTGTGTGTGTATGTATGTGTGTGTGTGTGTGTGTGTGTGTGTGTGTGTATGTATGTGTGTGTGTGTATGTGTGTATGTATGTATGTATGTATGTATGTATGTGTGTGTGTGTATGTATGTGTGTGTGTGTGTGTGTGTGTGTGTGTGTGTGTATGTGTGTGTGTGTGTRTGTGTGTATGTATGTATGTATGTATGTATGTATGTATGTATGTATGTATGTATGTATGTATGTATGTATGTATGTATGTATGTATGTATGTATGTATGTATGTATGTATGTATGTATATATGTGTATGTCTATATGTGTGTTTGTGTGTGCATATATGTTGTGTGGGTATGTATGTGTGCGAGATATATAGAGAATTTCTAATGATATATATATATATATTCTGTATATATTATATACTGTACATACCGTTCCCTTTTTTAAAAAAACATTATTGTATTTATTTTATTATTTTTTTGTTGTTGAAAATAGCTATACCTATTGCAACACATGAAAACCCTGGTAGTCGATGATGTAGTATTAGGTCAATACGTACGCAATCCCAATGGTGTCGGCGAAGCCAATACCAGTTATACGGATGACCCGAAAGTACCGAAAAACTCGACAGCGGCCACCTATTCGCTGGTCGTATTGCATGTGGACAATGATCGCTGGCGCGGAGTACCGATGTTTATTAGGTCGGGTAAGGCTACCGATGAAAGTCGGGTAGAAATCAGAGTCCAATACAAACCGGTAGACGAAGATTTGTTTGGCGGACAGTCCCGACCGGATCAGACAGTTATCAGAATACAGCCAAATGAAGCCGTCTATCAACGTTTGAATATCAAAAGGCCGGGTATGGGTAACGATTTGATACAAACGGAACTGGACCTGACCTATGCCACACGTTTCTATGTAAGTATTATTATTATTATAGGACTGTTTAGGGGTGGGAGTGGGGTTACACACTCACACCCCCACACAGACACACCTAAAGTTGATTTGATCAAAAAAAAACAAACATTTTTTTTAACCCAAATCTATTAATAATATTATTTTTTTTATAAATATATAATATTTATTAATAGTCTATATATTAACTAAAAATTTTAATTTTCAAAATATGATCATTTGGGACGTATGCCATATGATCTGATTTAGTTTTTTGGGGGGGGGGGGTATGGGGTGGGGGTTACGACATTAGACCCCCACCCTCTCTATAGTTATTTTTATTATTATTATTATAAAAAACTTCTATATATTAACTCAAAATTTTAATTTTGAGACGTATGCCATATGATGTGATTTAGGTTCGGGGGTAGGGGGTAGGGGTAGGGGTAGGGGTAGGGGTAGGGGTAGGGGTAGGGGTAGGGGTAGGGGTAGGGGTAGGGGTAGGGGTAGGGGTAGGGGTAGGGGTTAGGACATTATGCCCCCTCTCTATAGTTATTATTATTATTATTATTATTTAAAAAAAATACTTTTATTTATTTTTTGTTTATGTTTTTTTTCTCTAAATAGACGGCCGAACTTCCCGACGCCTACGAAGTCCTATTGTTGGACGTGTTTGCCGGCCGTCAGACAAATTTTGTCCGTACCGATGAACTGGCCGAAGCCTGGCGTGTATTTACGCCAGCCCTCCATCAGATTGACCAACAAAAACAAGCGCCAGTTAAGTATGTATTTGGCTCCCAGTCCTTCAAGGAGGCGGACGATCTGGAAATCAAATACGGACTCAAACGGGATAACTATTAGACGATTGACTAATTGATTGATTGATTGATTTTTTTGTGTGTCTGTATAAAACAAAAACTCATAACATTTGTGTCATTTAATATAATATATCATTAAATTTTAATTTTTAATTTTAATTTTATTAGTTTCTAATTATGATATTATATTTATTTAAGCGATAAAACAAAATAATAAAATATATATTTTTATTAACCTTATATATAGTGTTTTATTTTATTTTATTTCGACTATTATTTTTAATTATAATTAAATAATTTATGAAATAATTAAATTAAAATTTTTTTTATAGAAAAAAAACATATTCAATATGAATCTATCAATATAGTAATGAATTTTATTTTATTAAAATATTAATAATATTTAAATATTATTTTTATATATATATATATATATATATATAAATATTTGCATAAAGTATATTAAATTTTTTTGTTGAAAAAAAATAAAAATTAATTCTATATACTTATGTATGGAAAATATTTTATTAGTTTATTTAGTAGTAATATTTAATCATAGTTTTTAATTAATTAATTAATGTATGCATAATTAATAATGACAATATTTTTTTAATTATTAATATAATAATAATTACAGTATTATTATTATTATCGTTATTAAGTATAAGTATACAGTACTATCTGTATATATATTTATATATATAAATTACTCATAAATCTCATAATTATGTTAATCCTATTTATACAGTAATACTGTATTTTATAAAAATGCAAAAAATAAAAATGAGTGAATCATAGGATTTTACTGTATTATCTTAATTATATAAATATATATATACAGTATATACTGTATATAATAAAACAATTGATAATTTATAATTATGATTATAATTATGTTAATACTTTATTTAAAATTTTATTTATTTTTTTGTTAATTTTTATCATACACTCCAAGGATCCCTTGATTTTTTATTTATTTTCTGTTTAAATATTATATTAAATATTTAAATATATATTTTTAATAAATTAGATAAAAATATTTAAATTTCTAAAAAATAATAACTTTTTTATTGAGCACACATTAATTGCATAATAATAATAATAATTTTTATTTGACAATAATAGTATCATTTAAATATTATATATATGTTTTACAATATTTATAAATAAATACCTGAAAAAAATATTTAACAACAAAAAAAATAACTATATAATAATAAATATTATATATATACATAACAATGATCATAAATATTACAAAATTTATTACAATACAACCTTGCTCATATATATATATATATATATATATATATATATATATATATATATATTTGGTATTAATAATGCTAAATAGTAATAAGATTTATTATATATGTTTATTATTATTATTAATACAGTATTATTGGTCACAAAAATTCCTATATATTATATATATATATATATATATATATAATTTTTTGAATATCCCATAACTATTATGAACTTATTCAAGGACAATTTTTTTATTTGAAAAAAATTATATATAAATTAGCAGTACTTACAAAAAAAATTAAAAAAAATAAAATAATAATAATAACTCTTTCTATACATGTATTTATATAAATACAATAATGATATGATATATCTATTATTATTATTATTATTATTTAGTAACCTTACTGTAGTTTAAACTTATTTAATATATTTAAAAATAAGATGAGTCTATAATTATTAAATAATTATAGTTAATGATTATCTTTTTATTATTATTTGTAAAATTATAAAAATTAAATTTTATAGTTTTCTATATAAATATAAAGATTTTTATCAATAGATTTTTATCAAATAGAGTTTTATTTGAAAAATTATTATTTTATGCAAATTTATTAATTTTTTAAGTTAAAATTTTTTTGATAATATCTCAGTATTAATAAAAATACTAATATTTAAATAAAGTTTATGTTTTAATACATTAATACTGTATTAAAATAAATGATTTATAAAGTTATCATGAACAAATTAGTTTTGTTTGTAACTATTTTTACTTCAACGTTGACAACAATTATAAATGGTATGGATTTTTGTAAAAATATATTATTATTATAATATTTATATAATAATTTTTATTTATGACTTATTATTTATTGTTATTATTATTATTATAGTACTAATAATAATATAATTAACAATTTTTAGACTATTTTATAATATTAATTTAATTGCCTTTTTATTTACAATATATTTTTTTAAATATTATTAAATTTTTAATAAAATCACATTTTATTATTATTACAAAATTTATTTATTTAATTTTATTGTAAAAAAATATTTTAAATAATTTAAGCTTTAAATCAACAACAATAACAACAAAAATCATAAAAATATAAATCTATAATTTAAGTTATAAATTATATTAGAATTATAATAATAATAATAATTAATATCTGATTTAATTTTTAAATTATACGATAAATAGTATTATTTTAAAAATTATTCATTTATTTATAATATAATATTAATATATTATTTATATTAAATTATTTTAAATTATATATTTATTTATATATTTCAGCCGATAATGATTTTGAGGACACATCTACCGGTAAATTTCAAAGCGATTGTATTAAATGGCATAACTATTACCGTAAACTTCATGGGGCGTCACTACTTAAACATAGCGCTAAAGTAAATATATATTTATATTATATTATATTTAATTTATAGTATTTATAATTAAAAAACTAAAATTAAAATAAATATTTCAAATATATTCAGTGATAATATAATACAATACAATATTTTTAAACTAAACATAATTTTTCTAATCAAAACCTATTTGTTTATTAAAATAAATTATTTATCAAATATTGTTTTTTATATAATCAAAAAAAAATTATTATTAATATTTTAATATAAATTTTTTTGAAAAATAAGTTATATAATTAATTATATGAATAATTTTTTGTTTGAAAAATTAAATTTTAACTTTGAATTATTTTTTTTTATTTTAAAAAAAACAAACAAACAAACACATTGTGTATTATTTAATTAGCTATTAATATCAATATAAAATTTTTTTTCCCCAATATATCGTGATATATTTGAATATTGTTGTTTAAAATATATGCCACAAATTGACCTTGGTTAAATCTAGTTAAACAAGTTAATCGTTTTAAATTAATTTTTTTATAGCTTAATCTATGTTTTTTTGTAATATATTTTTAGTATTATTAAAATATATAATAGTAATCACATTAAATGGTATAATCAATAAATATAAATAATAATGATTATATGTTTTTTTAATAGTTTGATTACATTGTTGTGTATATTATTGTATAAAATTTATAATTTATACAATTAATTATCTGGATATTTAATTTTAATTATTATAAATCATTAAATATTTGATTTATCTTTTCTATTTTCAAAAAAAACTATTTAAAAAAAATACTAATTTAATTAGATTTTCGTGTAGAAAAAAAATAATAAATAAATATTTAAAAAAACTATTAAAAATAATAATTTTATTAAATGACAACATAGCTTATTTTTAGACAACATTTTTAGCTATAGATTTTTAGAAAATTTACAATTTTTGTTTGAATCAAAAATTATTTAAAAATAAAACTTTTTGTTAATTAGTATTTTTTAAAAATAAATAAATTTAGTTTATAATAAATAATCTCAGATTTAATTTATAGTAAACTTAACTCAAAAAAAATCATTAATAAATTGTAATAAATTTTTATATTCAAACTATTTTTTTGTTAAATTTTAAAAATTTCTTAACCTAGAAGTTTAACTTAAATTCATACCATAGATAATTGTTATCAATGTTACAATAAATATAAACAATACTAATTTGTTCATGATAACTTTATAAAACATTTATTTAATACTGCATTAAAACATAAATTTTATTAAATATTTAGTATTTTTTTTTAATTATATATTTTTTTAATTTTCTAATAGCTAGAAGATTTTGCCCGCTATCGGGCCACGGAAATTGCCAAACAAGATGGCAGTAATTTTCGGCACCCCGACGACCTCGACTACGGCGAAAATCTGGCCTGGAATTCAATTGTCAACGTTGACTGTCGGGTACCGTTAAAACTATGGTACGATGAATGGAAAATCTATAACTATCGCAAACCAAATATAACCGCAAGAAACGGACATTTCACACAAATGGCATTTAATTAATTATTATTATTATTTAATTTATTATTATTATTTAATTAATTATTATTATTTAATTTATTTTTATTATTATTATTTAATTTATTATTATTATTTAATTAATTATTATTATTTAATTTATTTTTATTATTATTATTTAATTTATTATTATTATTTAATTAATTATTATTATTTAATTTATTATTATTATTTAATTTATTATTATTATTTAATTTATTATTATTATTTAATTTATTATTATTATTTAATTTATTATTATTATTATTATCTAATTTATTATTATTATTATTATCTATTTAATTTCTTATTATTATTATTTAATTATTATTATTATTTAATTTAATTATTTAATTCAAATTGTGTTTTTTGATAAAATCTAATTGTTTTTTAATATCTTGATTTTTTTTTGAGGACAGGTATGGCGTGACACCCGTAAGATAGGATGCGGACGGGCTGTTAGCAGCGGACCACTGGGCGGTACATACACTGTGTAAGTGTTAATAATAATAATCAATATTTTATTTTTGATTAATTGTAAAATTAACTATAGATAATAGTAGATAATAGTCAACTATTATCTAGGTGAAATTTTACAATTAATCAAAAACAACAAAAATGACCAATTACAATTAATGTTATAGTTTAATATTATCTACAATTATGTTCATGATCATTTTTAAAAAAAATTAAATGTATTGTTTTAACAGATATTTAATATACATTAACCATATCTATCAACACTTGTAATACTAATAATAATAATATAATAATGTATTTATTTGATAATAATTATTATTTTTTGGTTTATTATTATTATTATTATAAAAAATATATATTAAAAAACAATAATAGTTTTTTATTATTGTTTATATTGTATTATAAAATTTAGTATAAAATTTTTTATTTATTTTTAAATTTTAACCTATTTTTTATAAAAATAAATTTTTAGCTGCAATTACGATCCGCCCGGTAATTATATTGGGGAAGAGCTTGAAAATGTTAAGCCGGCCCTGAAAAAGAAGCACCGGTCACAACCACCGACATCACCGAAACGGACAGTCAAACCACGGGGCGGCGGTAATAATAATAATAATAATAGACGACCAAAATTGCCGCCGAAACTACCGAAAACTGACAATTTATAAGTGAAACAAAAAAGTTTATATACAAAAAAAAAGTATTTTTGAAAAAAATGTGTTCAATTGGTATCATATATAATATCAATATATATATATTTTTTTAATCATTTAAGCATAAAATTTAATGCATTAAAATAAGTTTTATAAAAAACTTTTTAACAAATATTTTTATACATAATATATATATATATTTTTATTTTTAATCATAACTTTAATTATATTATTTTATTTTTTAAAAAAATATAATTATCATTTTGTGTGTGTGTGTGTATTGTTTTAATACTGCCATTTGTTGTAATATAAAATAAAAATAATTAATTAATTAATATAATACTCAATATAACTGCTGTAATAATAATAAAAATAATTACTAATAAAAATAATAATAATTAAAAAAAATGTTGTTTTAATAATAAATATAAAACTAAAATAAATAATATTTTTTAAATTTTATAATAATTATTATTATTTAAACTCAACATTATTGTAATTGATCATTTATTTTGCTAATTAATTGTAAAATTAACCTAGCTAATAGTATATAATAGTAAAAACTACTTTATATCGATGCTGCTATTATCTAGGCTAATTTTTTTTATAATTAATTTTAAAAAATGATCAATTAATAATACAATAATGTTATAGTCATAATATTATCTAGAATTATGTTCTTGGTCATTTTTTTTATAAACTAAATATCTATTTATAAAACTAAAAATAAAAGGTTTATTAGATATCTAATTATAATTAATTTTATTAATTAATATATAATTAATACTATTAAGGCTTAATATTAATAACTTTGTATTTCCTCCAAAAAATAGTCTCATATATATCGCCATCTGTCAACACTAGACCTAAATAAAAACATATATATATATATATATATAATGTTTTATACAGTAATAGCTATAGTCTATCACTATCTTTAAAAACATAACATAAACACTGATATTATATTATATATACAATAATACTGTAAATAGTATTTTAATAATTCAATGTTAAGTCACAATCAATACTATTAGACAACATTACAAACAAACAAAAAAAAAACATTTTATAAACTAAACAAACAAAAAGTTTTTTTTTTAATTTAAATTAATTTAATTTAATAATTAGTTTTTTATATAAAAAATTTTAATAATTAAAAAAATATGACTAAAAGTTAATAATAATAATAATTAATATTTAGTTAATAATAATTAATTAGTTAATAATTGATGGCTGAAAACACTGATCATAATCATAGTTATCGGCGGCAATCGTTTGACCGGTTCGGCGATGACCTGACGGAAGTGATTGTCGATTATCTGTCATTTGGGGATAAATTCCGCTACGAATGTGTTGGCCGACAGTTTCGGCGGACAATATTTGCCAAACACCGCGTACTGACCATCGACGGCAAACTAGTGGACAAACTGGGCGTCCGTGGTCTGGCCAGCGGCTGCTGCGGCGGTGATAGCAATGGTAACGATGGCGGCGACGGCGATGACGGCGACGGAAAAATACATTTACGCCGATTCGAGACCGTCCTACGCAAGTGTCCGCACATCGAGCGGGTAGTGGTCAGCGGCGACGGCGGCGCTGTCGACGATCAGACAATGAACGCAATGATCGACCTGATTGGCCAACAATTACCGCGATTGCGGTCCATAGATATGCAACAATGGCGTAACGTTTCCACGGAAACTATCGGCAAATTTATGGACAGATGTTCGGGTCGGTTGCGTTCATTTGCTTTCGTTAAGCCGTCCAATGTTTCGGCCAATCGTTCGCTGCTAACGGCACTGACAAAGACTACGTCCGCGGCCGCCGACTGTCTCGAAGAGATTGATATCGTATCGCATAACCGAAACAATGTCTTCAATCAACTGTTCCGGTCGTCCACATCGTCGTCGCCGTCGGTAATCTTCAAACGGTTACGTAGTCTACACTTCAAGTATAGTTCAAACGAAACAAAATATTTTGCTCAACACTTTGCCGCCGACACCGCTGCCGCCGCCGCCGGCGACAGTGGTTATGGCCGACAGTTACGATCGCTGGACGTTACGGTTAGCCGTAGTTGCGACGAACGGGCAATGGAAACACTGGTAACCGGTTTGACCAGAATGACCCGATTGGTTGACCTGCAAATCATAAGCGACTCACAGGTGGCCATCGGTAGCGATCAACTGAAACGTATTGGCGATCACTGTGGCCGTCAACTGAAGCGGTTGTCTCTGAATCAGATTGTATTGTCGACGGATCTGATGACCCGTATTATCGAAACAATATCCGGACCACGATTTTATCGGCTAACACGCCTGCAGTTGAGCGGCTATTTTGACAAAGATTTTGCCGTCGGCTGCCAATCGTTTGGCCAATTGAAACGTCTGACACATTTTACCTTAATTTCATACTACGGCTACCGTTTTCGGCATCAATTTTTCGACAATTGTCATCAGTGTTGGCCACGACTCGAGGCCATCAAATTGTTTGACATACAGATTACCGATTCGCTGATGAAATCGGTATCAAATTTACCGAATCTGAAATCATTGGAATTGAATGGCAATGAAAATTATGGACAAAAATCAATGGACTGTTTAGTTAGAAATTGTCGGAAAATTACGAAAATTTCAATCAATAATTGTCCAAAACTTTTATAAAAACTAAATTAATTAATTGTATTTATAATTATTTTGTTTGTTTTGTAATTAGTATTTTTTTTTAAATTTACATTTTTTAATTTAATTAATTTTACACTTTTATAAATATATTTAAAAAACTTATTTATAAATTATTTACTTAATATGCAATTTATTTTTAAAAGGTAATCATGTTTTTTAACTAATTATTTTAATACAACAATAATAATACAGTATTATTATAATGTAAAATAAAGCAATAATAATAAAATACTTATTATTAAATTTAATTAATTTTAATTTATTTTATAATATCAATATATAGTTTTACAAACTATTTTAAATTTATCAAATTTTTTTGTAAATATTAAAATCTAAAAATCTAAAAACATTAAACTAGACGTTATTTGTGAATATCACACACAAATACACACATATAATAATAACGTCATAAATATACTAAAAAAAAAAAAAAATCAAATAAAAATCAAATATATTTTTAATACATTATATCTATGATTCATACATATAGATGTGTGCAAAATGTGTGAATAACACTGTACTGTATATTATTAAAAAAAAAAAACATTTGCTGTCTATTAATATAATATAACTATTAAACAAAATATATAGCATATCATTGATAGCATTATATAACTAATTATAATTAAAAAAACATATTGTTTTGTTAATATACTTATTATTATTATTAGTATTATAATAGTTTAGTGTCTAGTGTTTTGTGTGACCAATACTATCACTACTACTACTACTACTAGTATAACAACAACAATGGATAACAACGGTAAGGACATCAATATAGCCACCAATAACTACCTGAGCGAAGCCGGTATGTAATTAATTTTTTTTGGGTGGGGGTGGGGGGTTAACATAGGGGTTAATATAAAACCACCATTAATATATATATAAAAAATTCAAAAATAATTATTTATGGCTAAATTTAAAAAACCAACTAGTGTCAATTTGTTGATTATTATTTAGCATACCTTATTTAGCATACCTAACCCACACACCCACCCCTCACCGCCCCCCGATATCTACATGTGTGTACAATATATTAAAATGACCATGGTGTGGTCATATAAATTGAATGGGTGGGTGGGTGGGTGTGTAGGGTAGGGGGTAATGTATAATAATAATTAGCTTAGCATGGTTATTTTTGTAATGTATCAATCTATGTATATAAATATCTATTTGTGATATTATTATTATTAATTTATACATGTACATTTTTTTGATTACTAATAATAATAATAATAATCATCATTTTTTAATAATATTATCTATATTATACAGTAGTAATGTGTGTGTGTGTGTGTGTGTGTGTGTGTGTGTGTGTGTGTGTGTGTGTGTGTGTGTGTGTGTGTGTGTGTGTGTGTGTGTGTGTGTGTGTGTGTGTGTGTATTAATATACACATATGTATATAAATATATATATATATTAAATGTATTGATATCTCATAATCATTATCTAAAACTTAAAAAAAATTTTTTTATATACAGTGCTATAAATTAGTTATTTTTTAAATATACTATTTTTTTAAAAATTTTTTTTATCTCATTTATTTACCAATCAATATATAATAGATATAATAATTTACATGAGATATATACTGTATATATGATGTAAAAAAATTATGTTAAAATTATTTAACAAAAAATAAAATATGTGTCTATGTTTGCACCATAAATATATTGATATATGATTAGACTATATATATATATAAATTATATATATATATATATAGCTAACAGCCCACCCTTTTTTCCTGTTTAGTAGTTAATGGTGGTGTAAACCTACCAGTGCTGGCAATAATTATATTATATTATTATTGAATAACTAAGCTACAAGTGTTTTTTTTGCAACAAACAACAAAAAATATGTATATACTGTATATGATATATAGATATATATGAGTTTTAATTATTTATAATAATAATTATAATATGTTAGTCGTAATGATACCAGGTGATTTATTATTTATAAGTGTAAATTTTTTTTTTGTTATTTTAGTTATATCTAAATAATTGAAACATATTGTGTATTTGTATACAATGTTATATATTTATTTATAATGTATACAATAAAAGTAAGCTAGCTAAAAAGTTATAGCTAAATGTCTATGTTAATATATATATTGTCTAGGATAATTAGATAACATTTTATTTTATTTTTTTAAATTAATTTAAATATATATTATATTTAAATTGTTGTTTGTTTTTTATAACAATTTTTTAATTAAATCTAATAATAATACTGCAATTTGTTTTGTAGTTTTTTTTAAATTAATAAATTTATTATTAATATATGGTTTATTACAACAACATCAAGTTTATGATGTTATTTACAAATAAT